AATCAAATTTTTTATGTGTCAACTATTTTACGGTCACAATTCAAAAATATTATAGGTCACAATTTGTTCATCGGTCACAAATTAAAATTTTAAAAGTCACAATCAACCAAATAATATGTGACCACCAACAACACTTGTGACTACAACCTCACTACTGCCACCAACAACACCACTGCCACCGTCCGTCAGAACTACCACCACCACCTTAAACAAATCAATACATCCCAAAAAACACCACCACGTTGTCGCACCAATCCACCACCACCTCAGGAGACCCGTCGCCACCAACATCTCAACACCACCAAAAATACCCACAGCCTCCACTACATCTAACATAACTCCCGCCTCCAACATAGTCACTGTCACCCAAACACCACCACCACAACCTCACCAGATCCAATCACAACCAAACACCACCAAAACCACCGCCACTAGAAGAAGCACCAAGGTCAAAAAACCAGACCACAATCATCGCCACCTGCACCACAAAACCAAAAAAATCACCACAGCGCCGTCCACTAGCCACAACACCCGCAGGTCCACCTGCACCACCGCCCAAAAAAAAACCCTAAAAAACCACCATCATCCAGTGCCACCACATGAACTGCCGCCTCCAGTGCCACCATCATCCTCAATACCTTACCATAACAACCAGCAGTACAACCACCACCATCTCACCGCCACTACTACATCACCCCAAAGCCACCAAAACATGGAAACTACTACCACCCATCCAATAATTTAAAAAAAAACAAGCACCATCACCGCGATTTGCGTTATTGCAGTCAGGATCTATGCCATCACCACCGCGATTTGCGCCGCTGCAACCGCAATCTGTAGAACCTTAGTTGGCGTTCACAGTGAAGGGATGGCCTTGGGCCACTACAGACACGATTGCAGCAAGAGGCGGCGCGGTGGTGGTGGTGGGGAGAGAGAGAGAGAGAGAGAGAGAGAGAGAGAGGGGAGAGAATGAAATGGTTAGGGTTTGTGGTGAATGATAATAATATTATTAATATATTGATTTATAATAAACATTAAATAAAAAATTAAAACCTGATTTTAGAAAAATTAAATTTCAAATCTGATTAATGAAATGTAAATTTTCAAAACAGGGTTAGGTGTAATTTCCTCTTAATTCAATCTTTTTATTGCAGGAGTGGTCCATTTATATAAAAAGAGCGTAGGTTATATCATGCGGACTGTTGAGCTTAACCATCGAACCCAACCTAATCAACCCATGGGCTGGTCACATATTGATATCCTTACGAATTACATAACTCCCGTTTTTAGTAATAAAAAAAAAAAAACAACAAATGGGCATGTAAAATAAAATGAGCCCAATTGGAGATCCAAGAACGAAATGGCACTTGAATTGGTCATTCCACTAATTTTAACACACTTCTATATATTTCAATTTTAGCACCAGACAGATATTTTTCTCGTTGATGTTTATCTTTCTAAACTTTCTACCGTAGACTTTCGTATTCTCTTAGAAGTTAGAATACGCTTGGTATACAATTAAATATTATAATAGAAAAAATATTAATTGTATTTCATTATTCAATACA